AGCCAGGTGCATCGGGATCCCCCCACCACCTCTCACCCCCAAAGCATCCAGGAGCCTCAAGGACACCCCAGAAAGCACCTCCCAGCAGCTGGGCAGGGACAGGCAGCTTTTGTTCCACACAGGAGCCTGGCCACGAGGGCATCTTTTCTGCGTCTGTTCAGAGGACACCCAAAGTGGGGACTGGTCACCCAGCTGTAACAAACCCAAAGTGGGAAAGGCGCTTCCTCATTCCCCCACCTTCCTGCTTCTCAGAAACCAGGCCCAACGCTTTGCTGAAGGAAGCCACGTGAGATCAAGACTGGATTTTGGGGGGGGGGACCCAAAGCCAGGTATCCCAGGATGACCATAAGCTGGAGGTGGGGCCATCCCTTCCCGCAGGCCAAGCCACACGAAAGGCCTGGAAGTCCAAGGGTTGATAAGACCTACCCCACCCCCGCCTGTGGTTGCAGGTGGAATGGACCCTCCCTTCTGAATGGCTCCAGAAACGGGCACCATTTTGCACCAAAAGACCAGCTCAGAGGAACTCTGAACAAGGTTCGCAGGAGGCCTGGGTCTCCACGCACCCCAGATAGCCCTGCAGGCACCAAAGCAGAGCAGGTTGGCCTTCGCAGGCACCCTCTCGCACAGACCTGGCAGGGAGCTACCCTGGAAGACCCAACAGCTCTGCCAAAGGCCACTGTCGCCCGGCCCCCTCCCAAGCGCTGGATAACTGGGACAGGAGCTCTTTGCTTAACGCTGCCCACTGCAGAGGCTGCCAGCCAGGAAACCAGCTTGGTGGAATTCCCTGCGAGGACCTTTCCCCCCAGGGCCCAAAGGGGGCTTTCCTTGGAGCAGCCTGCCTCCCCAGTGGGCACAAGCCTTTGGGCACTCAGAGCCCTCCCGCTGTGTGAGGCCTTCTGGCTGCTGCTGCTGCTGTACGGTCTTCACTGGGCTTTTACTGCCTTTACACCTGGGACCTCCTCTAGATGTTGCCCCCAGCCCCAGTTGGCCCAGAAGCCAGCAAATCCTCTAACTGCCCCACCCCAGAATGGCCCAGCCCCTGGGCTTCCCTGCCAGTGCAAGGGAAAGGCCCAAGGGAAAAGGCCCAAGGGAAAGCCAGCCTCTCAACAGCTGGGGGCTCTGAGACCCCCCTTCCTGCACCCACTGGCTGTTCCTAGACCCCAGTCCAGAGGCAGTTGGAAATGGGGGGGGCACCTTCCTGCTCATGCTCCAGAGTCTTCCTGGCCTCTGCTTAGGAGGCAGGCACTCCTGCTCCCCCCCGCCCCAGGGAGACATTCCAGGGCTGCATTCTTGGCATGCCAGAAAGACGTCTGCTCGCAGCGCACCAGTCGGAGGCCCCCACCTTCCCATTGGCTGGCTTGGTGCATTGGACCAGGCGCAAAACATCTCCAGCTTCTCGCTCAGCCCCAGGAATGCCAGAAGCTGGAGGCTCTGTGGTTTCTGGGGGAGGGGAAGGAGGGGCGAAGCCTCTGCCTAAGCACCCTCCCCCCAAAAGAGGAAGCAGCACCAGCAGCCAACATGGGGGGGGGACTTCTGCTCTTTCCTTCCCAGTCCCCAGAAGAGATTCTCCAGCTGTGCTGATCAGGCTTCCCCAAATGCTGCTTTCACACAGCCCCTAACCCATGTTCCCGACTGCGCTTCAAGTGTCAAAAGGGCGGGAGGGGCAGCCCCCCTTGTTCCTTCGGCCCTGCAGCCCTCCTGGCCAACTCTGACCAGCACAAAGGTGATAAAGTCAGTTAGATGTTGGCCAACAGCAAACTCTGAGCCCAAGGTCACATCCTGCTTTCTCTCTGGTTCCCCACTCCTGACTCTACTTAACACCCAGCCCGCCCCCATTTTGTGAATTCCAGCATCATACAAGAGACTCCCTTATGGGGGAGGACACAACTCCCCCCCGACACAGCATTTCCCCACTTCTGAATGAGGCACCCAGACTAGCTCACCGCATATGCGAAGATGGATGCCACCTTCACTGGCACCAATTGCCAGCTTGGGTCCAAACAACAAAAGCCCCCTAGCCCGTGACCCCAGCCACAGCCTCCCGTTTGACCCTCGCCGCATGGAGACAGGACAAGCTGTGTGTCTGGCCCACCTAAGGGTCCAAGCAAACCCCTGCCTCCCTCGATGTGCGGAAGCCCCCCTTGCCTCCAGCAGTGCCCTGCAGCCAAGGCTTCTAGAAAGCTCTCTGCTCCCCACCCAGACACTGGAGGAGGCAAAGAGGGGTCCTAGGTGTTTGGGGCAGTGGCCCAGCAGCTACGTGTGAGACGGAAGGGGCTGACTGTCAGAGCTTCACCCTGAGCAGGGCAAGACCTCTCTGCGGGAGCACAAGCCTGCGATCAGGACCTTCACAGGGGTTGGGAGGGAGGAGAGTCAAAACCAAGACAAACTCGGTTTAGCTGCCTCGGCTACCGATGCTAAAGCAGCACGGTCACTGCTTAGAACAAAAAGGACCAGCTGCTGTGGAGAACCCGTGCTGAGCCAGCACTCCGGGCTTAAACCTGCATCTCTTTCGCCCACCCTTACGCGGCAAGGGTCTCTTTGGGGCCCACCTTGCCACCTCTTGGTGAACGGCCTCAGACTCTTTTTTCAGCTGTGCCAGCTTCAGGCCCACGTTGGTTCCACCCTGCTGGGCCATGGCAGAAGATATCCCTGGCCACTGACTTGGGGCTGGCGGGCTCGGGGAAGCTGTGGGGGCGCAAAGGCCCGCAGGGTCAGTGGCAGCCAGCATTTCCGAGAGAAAAGCAGACCGCCGGCTGCAGTTTCCATACCCCGGAAGGGTCTCCTTGAACTAAGAAAGAAACGCAGGAGGCAGCAGAGGGAAACCTCAGGAGCCCCCACCCCCCAGAAGTCACTACTGCAAACTGCGGGGAGCTCTTGGGTTGTTACCTGGGGGAGCAGAGCTGCTGGCTGGAACACAGGACCAGCGACAGCATCAGGCTTGCCGGGGGTGGGGGGGGGCTGCAAAGCAGAAAAAGGGCTTGTCTACCAGATGGCAGCTGAAGAGGTGGCCGCCAGAAACACTGCCTCCTCACTCTTCCCTGGCTTTCGGCAGTCCCCAAAGACCTTTTGTCCTGCTCCCTCGACAGGATTTGCACTTATCCCCAGGCAAATAAGTTTGCATCCTGTTGCGCTCTAAATCGCCTCTTTTTCGGCCTCTTAATTTTCAACTGCATGGGACACAGCGTGTGTGTCTGGGCATACGCACAAGGACGGTGAGCCATCCTGAGAGTCATTTTCTTAAAATGAAAGGGCAGGATATAAATACCTTTAGCAAACAGCAGAAACAACACGATGGGCCTCAAATGGGGGGGAGGGGCGGAGAAGAGGAATAGGGGTGCTCTGGCGAATTCAGGGTTTGTTTTTTTTGCAAACTGCAGAATGAGCTGGACAAGACCCACAGACTGATGGAGGGGGGTGACTCAGTGTCCCCTTCCCCACCCTGATTTCCCAACAGAATATTTTTTGCCTAAAGCAGATACATTCCTGGACGGGTAACAGCAGCAGTTTCGAAGAGGGATTTATGCTTGTAGGAGGATATGGGACAGCACTAAGTCATGTGTCTCCTACTCAGCTTACAGCTGCCTTCTAGAAAGAGAGAGAGAGAGAGACAGACAGACAGACAGACAGACAGCCTCCTTACACCTCTAGTTGGGCAAGACTCTGCAGGGGGACTGGGAGGGGTCAAAATATAGCAGAAACAGAGAGGCATGCTGGAAACCAGAGACTTAACGTTCATCACTTTAACGGCATCAGCCTTTTGAATATGAATTAATTGGGTTTGCAAGGCTTCATGATAACCTCTTTGGGTCCTGGGTCCAGTTTTCACAGCTGGTGAGGTCCCCGGCTTCAGAACCCCGCTGCTGCAAGAGAGCAAGGCCTTCCCTTGCAGGAGACAAAAGGGAGGGGCCGCAGTCTCAGGGCATTCTGAGCTCAGCGGGGAAACCGAGTGAAGCAGCACCTGGCAAGCCTTTGGCAAGTCCAGGGGCTCCACTGATCTGTCGCAAAGGCAGGTGAACTGCCCCCATTCAAAAGAGTATGGGTCGGGTCGACCTGCGTGCAGCAGATGTCTGGCCACTCCAGGTCAAGTGCCCCCTGCCGGAGCCCTTGCCCCTCCTTCCTCACACTTTTGCTCAGAGTGGATACCCGCTGCCCTCTGCCCTCTTATGGAGGATGGGCCTTTTCCACAGGAGGACGAAAACACAGAAATCGTTGAGGGGAATTGGGGTTGCCAACCTTCTAGCTTGGAATTAATCACATGCATAAGCACCCACTGAGCCCCAGAGAAAGAGGGCAGAGCCATCAAAACTACACTCCGCATGCAGTGGGGACCAGGGCCCTGGGACCCATCAGAGCCAAGCACCAGCAGCACGAGGCCAGGGCTCCAGCAGGACAAACACTTCCTGGGG